CCTGCAGCAAAGGGAACATGCAACTTGCAACCTGGGCTCAAACCTGCAGCCTAACCACTACGACTGCAACACTGACCACCGAGGAACCACAGCAACAGTCCATTTGTTGGATTAGGTTTCAAAAACATTATAATGAAGAAAACAAGTTCAATTAATACTAAAATATAAATAATATTAAATACATATTGAGCATATTTCAAATACACTGATTTGACATATTACAATGAGCTGGTGTACAGGTGGTGCAGACATTAGAGAAAAGGGGCCTGTGATTGGAAGGTTGTTGGTTCGACTCCCTGGACCAACAACATTAAAAAAGGTGGGTGGAAAAGGTGAAACACCTAGACCTGCCTCTACCCTCATTTGCCCCACCTTCGGCCCATGAGCAAGCCCCTTAACCCCCAGCCATCTGCTCCCAAACAGATCTCTCTTGAAAATGAATCCTCAATGTGACTACCTGTATGAATACAGTAATTGTGTTTATTTATCTATAAGAAGAGTTAAAATACTGTGTCCACAAAGAAATGCTCCGACAAACAAACAAACAAAAAAAGATTATATGTTGTGTAACATTATCGTTAATATAAAATAATTGAATTTGCTGTGTAAGTGTTGTAACCTCAGTTAGCACTGAGATCACCAGAACTGCTCATTATCAAAACCTGGCAACCCCTGCAGCTGCAGACACAGGATGGGTTTTCAGATATTGTGTTATAACCGTTTTTTGTGTTTTCCAAGGCCTTTTAGCTGTGGCAGCAATCTTGAATCAGGTTGACTCCAATACTAAAAGAGTTGTAGTTGTGCATCCAGTTGTTACTGAGTTCCATTAAAATCCATCCAGTGATTCTTTACATATTTTGTTAACAAACAAAAAAACACGAAGAGGCAAAAACAACTTGCCTGCCCTTTGTATTTGGCTGGCAGACACTAATTTACATCACAATTCATCCTTTTAAATTAATCAAAAAAATTGATTTATGTAGACTTGTGAATTTGTCAACAACAAATCTTTTCACCTCGGTGTTTAATCTGAAGCACTTCAGCCTTTTCCTGTGCAAAGCAGCTACTGTGGTCCATTGTGCATTTAACAGTGAGACACCGTCGTCATCCCTGGACATCAGCGCTCTGTTTAATTATCAGCAATCCACCAGCCTCTGCAGAGTGCGCTCACAAACTCTGACTCCCATCAATGAGTAATGACTCTTTTTCTTTATTCTAATCAGTCGCAACTTCTTTTGAAATTTCTGTCTGCCTCCCAGGTGTCAGTTGTGATCAGCAGTTTAATGAAACGCTGCACCCGCAGACTGACTTGCATATGCTTAGTTAAAGCAGCGACTGTGACTCACACAACATCTGCACACACAGACTCACCCCTGGGTGGGGTGTGGGTGGGAATGATGAAGTACACTTATTTGGCTAATTTGTTTGAAGCTGTTAATCGCTCCTTGGCTCATTTGTGACAGTAATAAATAATTGGGTAAATAAACAAATCTAAAAGAAAATGTGACTGTTCTGAGAAAGAAAGTAAAGGTGACCACCAGAATACAGACAACTGAAATCTGTTCATCGTTGATGACTTCTCTAAATTACCGTACTTTCTGCTATACAAGTCACATCAGTCCAAAAATGTCTAATAAAATGGAAAAAATAAAAAAAATACTTTGCTTCCCCATATAAGTCACATCTATTATGTGTCACCGCTGACGTGTCACGTTTGTTATGTATTACCGCTGACCACCCGGAAACAAGGGCGTTGTGCCAAAAATCAAATGGCTGCCAAATGGCGACCGTTGGAGCGTGCACGGGAGGACTTTAACAAAACAATTATTTGTTTGCTTGAAATTATAACAAAGGTAAGTTTCAGTCTAACTTTTCCTTAATAAATGCACTTTAACTGTAAAATCAGCTGCATTTCGCCTGGGCGGTGTGGCGAAATGCAGCTGATTTGACGTTTGCTCCAGGAGTTCCAGAGCAAGACAAAGGTGGCTAAGTATGGTAAGCCAAGTGTTTCATTAATAGCCACTTTTTACTATTATTTGGCTTGCCATATTACTCAAGCACCCTTTAGTGGCGAAAATGGTAGTGTTCAATATTTTCCTTCAGAATTAGTAAAACCGTCAGATCTCAGCCACAAACTGGGTTATAAATATGGGAAAAAAAACATAAACAAGTCATTTTGCTGTATAAGTTACCGAGCGTGCTAATTTATGCAAAAAGGTGTGATTTATAAAGTGAAAAGTACAGTAAAGGAAACCCTCCAAGCTTACACTAGTCTACAGCATGATATAGATTAAAAACAAACAAAAAAAATAAATAAATAAAAATAAAAAAAACAGCAAACAAGGTACAACATGTAGAATACTAAAACGGGATGAGATATAAAATGAATGAAAATTAAATGTGAGAAAGAAATAGGAGGAAAAATGGAGGGAAATGATTTTTGACACAAGTGGGAGATGAGTGCATACGGAGGAATGGATTATCAGTTGTGCATTTTGCTGTGTGTATTTGTGTGGTGTCTTGAAATGTGAAAAATATACATAGAAGTTCATTCAGACTCTAAGCTGATTTCCTAACTGTCTAGGATTTGAAAATGATAGAAGCAGAAGTGATTTTTTTTATTTTTTTATTTTGGAAAGTCTCCTTTAAGAAAAAATAATGTATCAGAAACACAAGAAACTAAATCTAAAGAGGATCAGTGTTCTCTTAATTCTCTGTCTCATTCCTTTTGGTTTTTTTTTGTCTAATTTCCTTCCCATAGGCCCCGTTTTTTATGTTCTTCTCACAAGCTCAGTCATGATTCTTTCCTCTTGCTTTTATTCAAAGCTCTCAGACTGACAGCTGCTCTCTGGTCCCACTGGAACACACAGCAACACCCGAAGGTTCAAACATGAGAAGGGCTGAGGAGGACAGCGTAAGACCGATCCATAATGGATTTTACCCTCGCTTTCCCTCTCGTATTCCTTTCTCCAGGGATGGATGCAGTGAAGACACAAAATGAGGAAACTGTTGAGAGGATGGGGTGAGGAAAAGGTGATGGGAATAGAGCAGAGACGGGCTGGTGGTGAGCAAAAGAAACAATAAAATGTTGTTTTTTAGGGACTATAGGTGCAAGTTCACTCTAGAACAACAACTGAAACATGTTTAGGTAACGATGCAATGAGTCAGATTGCTAAATTACAAAAGTGTAAATTAATATTTTGATGTAGATCCATGTTCATTTATGGTACAATGATCCTTAGATTTGGATAAAAAGGGCTAATTGATATTTTTGAGTTTTAAAATACAAAGTAGCTTAAAAGTACTGTACTCAGAAAGCTTTGATAATTGAAACTTTGTAAGTTTTATCAAGTCAAGGTGAAAATGACATTACAATCTAAATCAAAAGCTTTTGAGCCAATTGTTTGTGTTCTTTGCTTCATTTATGTCAGACAGAGTAGTTCACCCACCAGTGCAGCGGGGACTGACAGTGAATCAATGTCAACTGGGGGGGGGGGGGGGGGGGGCAGATCATAAAAAACCAGAAAAAAAAATGTAAACAAATATCCTCACCACAAATAAAAAATATAAAT